GTCAGTTGTGCGATATTGTCCCTCGTTATGCGAACGCGATTAAGGATTTCTGAGGATTTGGGGGAATTGTAAGGAACTTTGTGGAACGGCGGTTTACACAGATTCATACACTCTGAACGACCGTGATACCAAGGCTTCAGATACAGGGAGCCAGGGTTCCTTGTGATAGATGAGAAGAGATGAGAGCGGCCCAGGGGGTTATGGAGAGAGAGAGGCATATTTACCTATAGACTGAAAACTTTCGGCTTTCGGTGTACCCGGCCTGTACCAAGTACTTTTGAATGCATCAATCCATATCACAACGTCCGGACGACTTGTTTCTCCTGGCGCGTTCTCGATACTGAGAGGTATAAAAAAACAATGGATATTCAATGACTGGGTTGTTATTGGGCGACGATTGACACGTTGTGCGATTCGCGAACAGTACCAGGAATTTCTGAAACTTTAAGGAACGGTTTACACAGAGCTATGTGTATTTCCAAGGCTTCAGATACAGATCCTAGAGACCCTTTCCTCGTCCATGTATCCACGTCCGAGCGCGCGTTCCCTGTGAGCGATGGATGAGAGTGTGAGCAAACTTGGAGCTAAAAGGTGCGTAAAATATCATATTCCCCTGTCATATGCTGTTATATGCTGCTAACCAATTACAGGGATATATCCCACGGACGAACGAGGCTGACATCCCAGTTTATTCGACTCAACGACCATTTTCTGGTAGTATACGACTTGGTCAATGCTAATTAGCTACAGAGGGCTATGGAATTGGAAATAAAAGGTGTGTAAGAACGGTATTACCGCGTTATACGCTAAAAAACCTCAGTTTACCTCACAGGATATATTCCACGGTCGAACTTGGCTGCTCCGGCGATGGAATCTTCAGTGTCGCCTCACGTTCAACGTTCACTTATTGACTGGAAGACTTTCGGTAACCACCTTACAATCACAAGGCCCGGATGACCTCTTTCTCGACGCGTTCAACAACATTACGAGCTATCAGCAAGCTCTGGCTCTTTCCTCGTCCTCCTCCCTCTTCCACCAGCTACACCATCTACACCCTGCGTGGATGCATCAATACTATTGTTCAAAGTTTACATCAAGCCTAGATAGATAGATACGGCTCCATACAGATGAGGGAACAGCTGGGCCCAACCGCCTCCACTGCCTAGTATACATCCTCAAACAGCCTCAAAGTTGCTCGCCGCTCGAGCCTGTCGCGTAAACCTCGCTATGTATTCCTACATGACCTCCGGGAGCCATCATCGTAAACCTTGATATCTTCATTGATGATTTATGGCAATGGGTGACTTCCCGCTGCAATTATTCTGCAGTTAACCTGCAGTTAACTATTGGATGACTTCCCGTAAGGAAAATTACAGCGTATTCAAAAAACCTTGTCAGTGGATGACTTCCCGTAAGGATTATTGGACAGTAATTATTTCCAACAGTTTCTAAACGTCCTAAGCGAATTAGTCCGATCAACGGATTTTGAGCAGAACTCGAGCAGAACCGTCTAGGGAGGGGTCCGGACCCCTCCCTAGACGGTTCTGCACTCGCTTACTGGGATAAGCGAACAGCGCATCAACTGTCCGTCAGTCGCATCAGACCGGCTCAAAAATTATTTACTCAGATTATTGGGCAAAGGCTTACGGGAAGTCATCCAGTAGCGTAAAAAAATAAGATAAAATAAAATAAAATCGAAAAGGTACCCGACGTTTTAGCCGACCACTTGGCGAGCGCGCTGTCACTCACGCCTTTCGACAATGTAGTATGATCGCGGTTCTTTTGCTTCTGAGGTAGGACTAACAGATGCTGATGCCGCTGGAGAGTCCAACCATACTGGGAGGAGCTCTGTCCACATTCAACTGACAGCACTGTCCAGCTGGGAAAGTGCTCCCCCAGCAGTACTGAAAAACTGCTGGGAGTACTTTCAGTACTAAACAGCACTCTCCAGCTAGTACCCTTACTCTAGCAAACATCCAGGGTTTACAGATACTCTTCCACCACAAAAGATCATTGGTGAAAGGCACGAGTGACAGCGCGCTCGGCTAAAACGTCGGGTACCTTTTCGATTTTATTTTATTTTATCTCATTTTTTACGCTACTGACAAGGTTTTTTGAATACGCTGTAATAAAAGTCGCGTTTTATTTTCTCTCCAAACGGTTAAGCGACGTGTCCGATCAACGGGTTCCATCAAAAACGAGCTGAAAAAATTCTACAAGAGCCTCAGGACCCTCTTGTAGATTGGTTTTGCTCTCGATTTTTGCTTAAGCGAGCCGCGGATCACTTGTCCGACAGTCGCATCTCATCCTCTCCAGATTAAAACGAGCAACAGCTCTTACGGGAAGTCATCCATTAACGGTATTTGATGCGACGTAACGGACTGTTGATGGGACCCTCGCTTACACCAAAAACCAGTTTACAACAGGGTAAGGAAGGGTAAGGAGGCCGTTGTAAATTGGCTTTGATGCAGTTTTTGAGAAGCCACTAGGGCTGCTCAATTCTTGCCTCACCTCACCGCCTCACCTCACGAGCTGTCACGGAATTCCGCTTTTGGATGTCTGATTGATCCGGGCTGATTTACCGTCGCCTTTTGTTTTCTCGTTTTCATCCTCTCGTTTTCGTTCGACAAGACTGTCCGGTTCGTCTTTGTTCATTGATGGTATGTAGCTAGTACACCTACCTTACAACAACACTATCAGTAAATTCTTCATCGAAATTTTGTGCTTCTTCATCATCAAAGCCATTATCATGTTGAAAGGAATCATCATTGGAGTTATCAGAATCCTCCATGAGCTTCCATGAGGTGAGAGGCAACAGTAAAGGCTTGCGCGACATTGAACAACTCATTCTGCACCTCTGCACAAGTAATCTGAGGCATAATGAATATAAAGCCTTGCTGCAACTACTGTATATTACACATATGGTGCCGATCAATCGGACATCCAAAAGCGGAATTTCGTGACAGCTCGTGAGGTGAGGTGAGGTGAGGCAAGAATTGAGCAGCCCTACTGTCTCTTGTGAAACGCCAAAGCACAAACTGCTCAGGACAGCTCAGGATCTAATGGATAGTCATCAAAGTACTCATTGATGGATTTCTCATGGATCATCTCTGATAATCTAGGTTATTGTTTGCAGCATATATATGAAGGGACCGATAAAAACTACATAGGGCAAATTATAACGCTGGTTCGGTACGTCGATTATCTTTCTTTCCGCTAGACCTATGTAGTACTGTGTCATTCTTCAAATATTCTCGCTACATTCTCTCTTGACCTCCTCGCTTTCAACACTTGAATGTCTACACCTACTAACTGAACACTTGTCAATATACATATCCCCGCACTTTGTCTTCGCTGTCCTGTCTCCTTCCTGATGCTGACCTCACGCGAATTTTGCTTCCCAGTGAATATATTTCATTGTCTTCGGGTGAATCTGCTGGTCAAAATTTTACCTCGAGTTGTTCGACACGTTAGTGAGCAGTCTAGCTCGTGACTTTGCTACTTGTTGAGGGCTGACAATGAACAATTGAATTGGCAGCAATTTCCCTTGTACCAAACCCTCTCGGAACACAATGCGCTTCAACCCTGTCTATCTTGTCCTGGGCTTGCTTGCTATGATTTATGCTGCACCTGTTGATGTAAGTTATCAGTACTCATATTCCCAGCCCATCAACTTACGTTTCTCAAACGTAGCCGGGCGGTGATTTGGGCTCACACTCGAACTTCGAGAAACCTCTTCGAGTGCGGATGGAAGTCGACAGAAAGCGCATCCACGCCCAATTTACTGGAGAATACGCTGAACAAAATCTAAGTCAACAATTTCCTCGCCCCCCTGCGATTGTCCAAGAGCTCGTGCATAAAGGACTGGCAAAGTTGTTCCCAGAATTGACAAGTGACAACGAATGGATGATTGAGTTTGGCAATGAATTTGTTTCCAATGGCTGGAATCCTAACACCCGTGGGCTGCGTCTCACATTAAACATACATGGCATTGGGGAGTGTAGATATGTGTGGTGTATGGTGGACGTTTGGTACACGGGCATATTTTGGCCCAGATCCGAAGATTTCCAGTTGGGCGCGTTCCGTCACTAACTAGTCAATATGATCTGTCATACCATTGCGTTTACCTCCACCCCCCACAATTGTGTCACAATCGGTAGGATGTCGGATACTATGCAATATGGATTATCGTGTGAGTTGTCGTGTTTACTGATCATGGAGGGAGTGACTCAGAGGATCGAGTGGGGGTGAGACCGAAGCCTTTTGGGGGGTTGCTCCTGGTCCTTGTGTCCTAATCCCATTCGTCGTGATCTCATCCTTGAAGTTAGTGTCCCAATTCGACTCCCATTCAGTGAAGGGTGTGGTACGGTCCGTGGAAACGGATAATAAATCGCCCTCGAAAGCGATTCCGAGGTGAGACTCGACACCGTGCGCGAGGTGGGGCTCGGTGAGTTGGATTTGGATTTGGGTGCGGGCTTGCGTTTGCGTTTGCATTTGAGTTTGGGTTTGGGGCATCGTGCGGGTAGATTATGATTAATACTAGAGCTCTGAAGCTGGTGGCTAGATTGAGCTGATGGATGTTTGAGAGCACGAGTGGTGGCTGGGATTATCGATGAGATGACTGGGGAGCAGTGCCACCTCTACTTTGTTTCTGCGTTCCTGTGGGATACTCATCCGTGGAATCAATGTGTTTGGGTTAATTGAAACAGAGGATATCATTGGGCGCCGGCTATTATATCGTACATGTTATGGTCTTTTTCTGGTGTTTCTGGTCCTCGTTGATGTGGATATGTGAAAACACTAATCTACGCTGCTACCTATGGAATTTTTTCCAAGGTACTTATGGAATATTCTACACAGGTTCGTGTACGTGTTATCCCACAAAAACAAAGGAAATCCAAAGGTAGTAAAATTAGTTGAAAAAAACAAAACAAAGGGAGCCGGAAAAACAAATAAAAGTATGTAGCAATCGAAAAAAACTCAAAGGTGGAAAATGTACAGGGCCTGACTGGGAATTGAACCCAGGACCTCTTCCAATGACTCAGAAGCACTGAGACCCAAAGGAAGAATCATGCTACTAGACCATCAGGCCATTACACTGTGAAGGAGAGAGAGTATCTACTAATTGAGCCATAGGATAGACTCCAGCCACCTTTGCCAGTGGTACTAATTCTCTAAACATGGATGTATATTCTGAGACTGTGTGTCGTAACAACTTATACCCCAAAATCATCAATTCTGACCAGGAGCTGTGTCCACCCTCCCTCCAAAATACCTCAACTAAACAGCATACCCTACACTACCCTTGATTTCCCTGCTATTTCAGTAATATCCCCTCGCTTTTCCCCCCTGGACCTGAAAGTACAGCTACCCCGACTTCCCATTCCCCTTTCTCAACCGACTCATCATGAGCAACCCCCAACTCCCGTCCAGCAGCCTCATCTGACCACTTAAACCCCTGCGCCTGCGCATCCCACCACGTGAAATGAAATGACCCAGTCGCCGGAATAGTCGCGGGGTCCCATACGGAACCAGGGAAAAACTTGATCTCGTCGACCGTAAGAGGTTTGGAGCGGAATTGACTTTCGGTTGGGGTTCCGCTGCTACCGTGATTGAGATGAGAAACGATGCGTTTATTGACGGCGGGAGGGATCTTGGGGTCGCCTTTTACGGAGTTGGGGGATCCGAGGAGTTTGACGACGATACGGAAGGGGGGTTTGGAGCTGTCGGTTCGGGTGATCAAGGTCAGGTGTTTGCCGTCGATGGTGGCCTATATAGAGAGGTAATGAGTATATTTTCTCTTCATTGTTGCAGACACTTACAGGGAGCGGCGCAGCATGTACGACGGCGAAAAGCCCTAGGATGAGGTACAATGGGGAGAAATGCATTACGGAGCCTGGTATCAACGGTGCAATGTGATAAAGGTAAACTGGCGGTGAAGCAGTAAAGGTTTTGTGACTCGGAATGTACCTTGGAGCGTTTGGACGTTGGAGTGTACGTGTCAAGGACTGGCCAGCAGTTCTTGAAGGAGGAGTGGAGAATCGACTTTCCTTCGATTCCCCTTATGCGGTTTAAACCTTTCGCTTTAGTGCTTCACCCAGGGTCAACAAATCAGATTTCGTGATTGTGATAAAGTTGAGTTGTGAGGGTTGAATTTGGCACTGGTGTCTTCCAATACGCTTCAGACAGGGCAGGACGTAGCAGGACAGGGCAGGACATATAAGTTGAGGGATTGCTTGTAATCGAATGATTTTCATGCCACTACGCCACCGGGCAAAAACATTGTCTGTAAAAGGAAATGAGAAAAGTTATGGGAAAGTTGACCTTTTACAGTAGATTTATGGGGCGAAAAATCATATATTTTATGCTCGAGAAAACATTAGGTAGATATTTCCCTTCTCGGAAAAAACCCCGCCCTGGATAATTAGTGGTAATGAATTCCTTTCGCAAATAGAAAAGGTGCCCTTTTGTAGTTATTATTACAACGGGATAAAGCTTTGGGATTCTTTATGTTTCCCAGAACATATCTCCAAAGAAGAAGTTTCCCTTTATCAGAAGTAAAAAGCAATGAAATTGATTCCTTTTTACATCTTAAATTAATTACTTTTTTTGACGGAAAAACAAAATGGCCGATGAGGGGGAGATTCACGGTAGACTAAGACCCGATGAGAACACACTTGACGGACTGTTGTTGGGCGATACTGATTCGAGGGAGACTCTCTGGGCTTTTTTGTCCCGTCAGTGGTGAGAATATCTGGACCATTAGACAGCACCATGTATTCTATCTATCTATGCATCTCCTCTCATCTTAAAAATCACAGTACTTTAATAAACACAAGGTACGAATCTTTGATTGAGGGATAGCCTGCAAGATTACTATTTGGTAGATAGGAACAAGATTAGGTCGTTCAGTACGGATGAGACCTCTTTAACTTTGCGACACCACTCAGCTCCCAAAGCACCTTCCCTGTCGTCTCCCAGTCCCAATCCCCACCACTTGAGACAGACAATTACACTGAGCCAGCCGTTCTTCCCGCTAGTATTGAGGGTACCCCATTCCTTTCTAACACGACCATCTGAATTTCCACCGCTGACCATTGAGATTTGGCGAATAAGGCTGTTCCACCAAGTCACGAAATTGGTTCCGAAACGGGCAATATTATGCTGTCGAAATTTGGGATCGTTGTTGGGCCTGTCATACCTGCAATTTGTGATCCAATGGCTAAGCTCCTTGGGCCTGAGCTTGGCTGATATTCCTTTCGCCGAATATGCCCAATTTTTGTTACGCTCAAGCTCAATCCAACGGCTGATAAGGTAGATATAATCTTCACCTAAGTTATGATTAAGGTATTCGAATGCGGGGCGAAACCAAAGCAGGGCATTCTCCGACTGCAACGCATCTTCAGGATAGCAAGGAAGCTGCAAATGTATTACATTCACCATGATAACACTGACTATAAGCACACCTCCGAGCGAAAGTTCACGAGAGCGTTTTGTGCAGTAACGGGGATGTCTTCTATTTCTCCGGTGGACTATGAGCGATATTGTGAGTCATCTGCGAATGCGAGGAAGATAAAGAGAACCTGACGCACCTCTGCACTACAAACTCCTTCCTCTCCGGCATTCAAGGAAGGTCCACGAAAATCGAATCTGATATTCTTTTGAGACTCTTGCAATTGGTTGTCTAGCTCACTGGGAGTATGAGGAGAATGAGCAGAGACTACTTCAGAAGACTACAGTGAACAACGACATAAGCATGCTGTAACGTAGATGTAGCCAAGGAGACGAAGTACAAACCTCTCGGTGTGTCGTCTCCCCCTTGGATCCACCTTCAGCATCCACAGGTATTCCATCACCATTGCCACCAGTGTTGTTGGTACCCTGATCTTTCAAGTCCGCCTCCAGTGTATCTTCTGTTCGTGACAAGCGACCTATTGTTGCTTCTTTATCGCACTATGGGAAACATCATAAGTTCAATGTACAAGAAGTAGTACGAACACGAACCTGTTGAAGCATCGCTTCACTAGTCCGTGTAAAGCCAGAGTCCGACGTAAGTCCACTGCCACTTGTCGTATGTTTTCGAACTTCTTGCAATTCAGCCTCTAGCTTGTCGACCCGCCGCTGAAGTCTCTCCGCCTTTATTTCGGCTGCAGTCTTTTCAGCGAATACTTGCTTCCTTTCATTTTCGAGAAAGGTAATTCGTTGAGATTCGGAGTTCTTGAAAACAATTTAAGGACACCTACGACTCGGCGGGACAAAACTCACCATTAGATTGTCAAGCTCTTTTTCTGCATCACCCAATGCCTGGCTCTTCAATGACAGCTCTCCGTGGAGTTCTTCAACTTGTTCAAGTCGCCGGGATAATTGAGCTGTTAATCGAGCTTGCTGGTGAAATGTAAATCAGTGAAACTGGATTGAAGCGACATGAATACCGAATAAAGACTGGTTTGGCTTCGAGCTCTTCGCAAAGACATGGTGGTTCCGATGACAGAAAGATGATGCATAAAGGGAATTGTCAATCCAATGAGAAACGAGTGCTTGATACAAAGGGCGGTTGATGGAAAATCACGACACTAGAAACAAAGGTAGCCATTGAACCTGCAGATATATAAGACTTACCGTGAAGCTTGGATCTTCATTCTAATCCGCACATATCCCCCCCTGATTCGCGCTTGAAATTCATCGACAACATGGGCATGCATCACACACCCACTATTATTCCTAACAGACACGTAAGTGCAAGTGCAGGCAACGACTGGTCGAGGGCTGACCGAGCTGACCTACATGAAGGTCACCACAAAGGGCATTCGCGCACGGATATACCCCGCTGGTTCAGCCAGGCCAAGAGCAATCACTACCCATGTCCGACAAAACATGACCGACCCTGCGAACAGCCGCTTTGTTCTTGCTTCACATCTTCTCTCCGAACCAAGGCTTCAGCCATACATCCATGATATTTCCTTGAAGATACGACATTGTGGGAAGGTGTTCAACTTTCTTGTCTTCTTCAAAAGACACAAACGACTTCCCTTGAATCTATCGGTTCAGAATCTCGGCGGTAGAGCTGTACATGGAGACATCCTACTAGTCACCTGTGGTAAAAAGGTGTCCATTCGGAACTTACGCAGTGGATTGGAGGATAGAGCAGCAGATAAAGCAATAAGAAGGTATATTGTTGCTCTGCAAGAAAGATTAGGCAGTGTACTGACAGTCGCATACACAGGCTTACGGAAGCATTAGATCCGATTGGAAGCCGACGCCGCTTTCCTGCAACAATCTCTTGCTCGTAAACCATCATCCTCTTGGTTCGTTCATTATATATCATTCAGTTTTATTTCAACTAACTTAAAAATCCTCAGGTGTAGATAGACTGCCGATTTTCGATCTTCCTACAGGCAGGAGTATTTCTACGTTGTATGCTACTTTCTCTGTGTATAGCCTATTCAGGATTGAAACTACAGCAGTACTGTAATGTAAACATCCCTAATTCATATTCTTTTACATTCCGTTTTGAACCCCTGAGCTCAATAACCGGTCGAGGTCAGGAAGACTGAGAGGATGATCGGTCAGTAATATGCATTTCCAGATGAAACCAATATCTACTCACCGCAGAATTGGACGACCTTTCGCCATTGTGATGACATTGCTTGGATCATTCTTCATCGTCTCTAGATATTCGATCCAATAATATGATGAAGGAAGGTTTTCTGGGGGGTTCCGAGTGACTGGCACAATACCACGTATTCTGGGAAGCCGCTTTCACCCGATTTGGCGAAACAAATGCGTTGCAACTTGAGGAACTTTGTCTACTGTGTCGAACAAAACATTGAACTGTGGATGGCGGAAGTCAGGTTCATACTTAATGATGCCCTGTTGACCTTGTGTATCAAAAACCTCTTCAGTGTCAGACGTGCCAGCAACGCCCAAGACATCAAGAGAATATAGTATATCCGACCAGCAATTGTACTCCTCGTTGTCATCTGTGCGTCTTGCAATATCGCTCATTACACTAGAAATCTGCATGCGGCGCTGGTGTGTCTGTGAACATAGAAATTGAGTTTGGACATGAGATGAGACAGAGTCAAAGATATG